TAGGGAAACATGCTGTCAGCTGAGATCTGACCCACCTCTGGTTTGATGGCACCAGGATGGGTTGGTCCGTCCCAAGGGAAGAAGTTGCTCCCACTTGCTCTGATTTTGTACGGGATGGGATTCCTGGGAAAGCTGCTCTCCACCATGGGGAAGCAGGTTGTGGGCCCTCCTGTCGAAGCCCACTTTTGGTGGCAGTACCTTGTGCCAAACGTGACACCAAAGCAAAGATTAAATGACAACCTGGAGCTCCCCCCAGTCCCTGCACCTATCACATGGATGGCCTCCGTGGCATCGGGAAGCCTGGAGGAGAAACCCACCGTGCTGCGCTGCTCTGTCCAGCCCAGGCCATACGCGGGAGTGCCAGAGACCAGCTCACCTGAGTGCTTTGTCAAGGGTCAGGCCAGTGAAGTCAAAGAAGCTGAGATACTCCTCTGCTACCAACTTGCTAAATTCGTTACTGTAATTAGAGAGGGAGTAGTCAGCCCTTTCATCACGAAAGAAGACACTGTCTACAAGAATAGCAGACTTCTGCCTCCTGGCCAGCCCAACTCCCAGTAAGACACTGCAGACATGATCCCAGACCCAGGGGGACTTTCTCCTAGCCTGAAATGCTGCTGGAAGCCCTCCAAAGGACCCTAACATACCCACACTCTAGCACTGTGGCTGCCAGCCCTAGACACCTGCACCTCTCTGCTGTGCTGCTGGCCAGCCAGATCCTCCCCTCAAACCAGCCAGGAGGACGAGGCCATAAGGGTGTCCTGTGCTCACTGGGCACCTTCTCTCTTACCCAGTCCTCTCCCATTGCTGGATGTGTCCCTTCCTCCTACTGCAATATTCGTGCTCTCCACTCTGCTGTCTCCCACCCTCTCACCACAGCACCCTGCTCGCCTGTCAGATGGATGGATGGATGGATGGATGGATGGATGGATGGAAGCTGCTGGGAACTGGAGCAGGAGAGCTCCGCTGAACTTCTGGCCCTGCTCAACCCTGAATGCTTCTCCACAAACCATTCCCCTGCCACATTTTTAAAGGATGCTTGGAGATATGTTGCCAGAACGGGTGTTAAGTTCCTCTATCTATGCAAGTCAGGTAGTGGAAGTGCAAGAGCAGTCAATGAATCCTGGCAAGGAATGGGAGATGATCTCATTACGCTCAGCCTTGTTACAGGCAGAACATACTGCTTTTCCTACAGCATTGCTTCATCTTCTGCTGTGAGGCGGATGCTGTAAAGCCTCTGGCATGGATGCTGTTTGGAAGCATGAGACACAGCAGGGTCAGGAAGAGCAAGGTGACAGCTCCAGGGGAGAGGTCCAAGCTGAGTTTTGAGAGGCAGGATCTAAGTACTGGCATTGGAGTTTGCACAGGAGACTATTTCAAAGCCATATGAAGCCACAAGGCCTCGCACTCCCAAACCAGTCTTATTGTTTGGGATTGCTAGCTCTGGGAAAGAACATGTCCTCAGGGGCCCACGGCCCAACAGGTTTGTCTCAGGCAGAAGAAAAAAAAAAGTGCTAAAATGAGCTAAAAAGCTTTAAAATGAGATTTTACTTTTTGCACAACCCTCCTAGCCATCCCCCCTCCTACATGGAGCTGGCCTGAAAGCATTGCTTATACGTACCCTGCTCCCACTGCTGTAGGTTGGTCTTACATTGGTTTTAGCGAACAAAACCAACTTAAAACAGACTTATCCTCATCCTTCTTCCTTTCCTGCTCTCCAAATCTATCTGCTCGGTCCAAGAGCCTGCAGTTGTATTCAGGTCTTGTACTCAGGAATGAGTCAGATGTCAAAAACGCAGATGATCAAAAGGTAAGTTTTCTTTTAAAGGCTGCATCAGTTCCCAAATGTGGGCCACAAAGAGTCTTCCACGGTGTGAGGACTGCAGGTATGACTGAGGATTGCAGGAACTAGCAAAGGGATGCACTCAGATGCACCCCCCAGAGGCCCACTGCTTGAAACTTCCCCCCTCAGTGAGCTGTCATGACAAATTCGCAAGAAAGGAGAAGGACGTTAAACATGAGGCAGCAGCAACCAGCCATGCACCTGCGACAAGAACCACAGCAAGAGAAGAAGAGGGATGCGGCCAGGTGATTCCAAGAGACTCTCTAGGAGATACTTTGTGGGCTCCTTCTGTCCCAGGACTAAGCTGGGAGTCAGACGATCCTTGGTACTGAAAGCTTGGGTATTTGCTAAGAGACACTTGTGTTCTGCTGATCTAGACTGGAGAGAGACATTTCAAAGACATAAAACCTGTGTTGCTGGGGCTTTTTTTATCTGATCCAGGAGAAGGATGATGGGGATCGGTGTCCTCACACCCACTGGCATCCTAAAATAATCTGTTACTGCTACACCCGTTACTGTTACTCTGTCTCCTAGAAATCTCTGTAACTCACTTTTTAATAAACAGTTTTTACTTCCCTTCTGCCTTACCCAGGCAAATTTACCAGCTGAGGTGCTTGGACCTCCAGTGTGTTCCTGGCTCTCCACCAAACCCTTCATTGCATCTGGTGCAGATGGGATCAGGAGGCGCTACAGCAAGAAGATTTTGGGGTCCAGGCATGAAAAACCTGGGGATTGGCAGGTAGCCCAGTGCAGATCCAGGTTTGGATCTCAACCCCTTGAGCCTGGGAACAGCTTCAAGAGAGGTCTTGCTGGGCCCTCAGCAGATGCAGGAACCTCTTGTTTCTGGCGGGCAGCAGCCTGCAGCAGTTAATGCCCAATACATACAAGAAACCTGAACAATTCAGGGAAGGGCATTGGGCTTGGACCAGTTTCGAGTAGGAGGATCTCCAACAGCCCCAACTCCATCCAGCACACCCTTGTAAAAGCAGGTTTGTCCCTTCCTGCCTTTTGTCCTGTCCTCCCAGCATGACCAGTGCCCTGCCCAGACCCTCCCCACCCCAGCTGTGTTTTGGCTGGCTGTGCTCAACGCTGCCATCACAGGGCTGGCCGCAACTCAAAGCCCCCCACTTACTTTTTCCCAAGCTGGCGTGCCACATCACAGCGCTTGAACCCTTCGAGGTTGTAGAGGCGCTTGGCCAGCCTCTTGGCAGCCTCGCTATCTGCCCTGCAGCCGTTCGCCAAGGTGTCCGTGCTGCCTTGGTCAAGCTGCTCCGTGCTGCCCATGTCGGAGTCAGAGTCTGACAGCGCGTCCTTCAAGCTGGCGTCACTACACAGAAATGAGAAAGAATTCAAGGAGCAGCGACAGGACTAGATGGAACCCACAGAAAATATCACAATTTGAGTTCTTCTTGTCCTAGCCAAAAGTTTGGAAGAATAACAATACATTTGTGAAGCAGACATTGGACAAACCCTCTTTCATTTCATGCCAAATGAAATAGTACAAATTAATTTCAAATTTGTAGAAGAAGACTGAAAAGAAGGTGGCTTGTCCCTGAGAAATGAGGTTGCCTCCATTCGAAGCAAGCAGCCCCAACACTTTTTCAAGTTTCCTCTTTTTCCACTGTTATGCGAAGGGATACCAAGCTCTTTCAAAGCTGTGGGCACTCAGGGAATCTTAGAGATAGATTATAGGCTTTTCAGTTCAGATTATTTCCTAAGGATGAGAAACTGCACTTGTACAAATTGTGGCGATGAGACTAGTACCAGACCTGCTTCACTGGTGGGTTGCTCCCATGACATGGCTTCCTCATACAAAGTAGTGCCCTGGAGATGAGATCCTGCCTGCCAGGCACAATGGCTGGGGTCTGAGCTGGTCCAGAGGATGAAGTCTCTACTGATCTCCTCACTGCCTGCAGAGGAACCTTCAGGGAGGCCTCTACGTGGAACCTTGAGGTTTCTCTGCACTTCAGAGCGCATTTGAGAACGTGCCTGGCTGCTTCCAACCTGCCAAGGGCTTTTCCAGACACCAAGCAGGAAAGGCATTGGTCTACTCAGAGAAGCCCCATCTTTGTGTGCTGTAAGGACAGACAGGATTTGCCCCAGCTGCAGTCCTATCCTACAGATAGGGAAGTTTTTCCTGTTGGTGTTTGGCATCTGACACAGCAGCACAGGAGAGGTAGCACACGGGGAAAAAAGCAGCTCCATCTCCAACACATCCTCTGAGCCGTGCTCCTGGACTGTGACCCCATAAGACAAGGACCTCTTGGCCAAGGAACTCCCAGCCTGTCTTACCTGATGGAGTTAATGATCTTGGTGGCATCTTCCTCCGACCCTTCCACGTGAAACCCATTTGGAATACTCTTCAAGGACAATCGGCTCAGCACGTTCTCCGACCTGCTGCTGGTAATTGAGTGCCTGAGAGGGCTCCCAAAATCCCCCTCCACTGGCTTTGCTGCTGCCGCCTGCTCTTGCTTATCAGCAGCCATGTGGTGAAGGGCTTCTCTCTGCTGGGCTACCAGTTTCTGCTCCGAGAGCTCTGGGCTTTCCTTGACCCTTTGCTGGATCAATGGGGTGAGTGGGGCTTCAAAACTGACACAGCTGTCTGTCTCGTCTGTGAGAGAGAGGACATCCAAAGAGTCCAAGCTGCTGTAGTATGTTCCCTTCATAAGGTCAGACTCAACGATCTTCTCAAAAGTCGAGCTGAACCCATCCCTGATGTCTTTGAATTGAAAATGTTCCTTGTCATCCTCACTGCAGCTCAGCTTGCCATCTCCAGAAGCAAACCTGGACCAAAAAGGGAAATGTGGAAAATATTGTCACAAGGTGCTTGCACTGTTCCACTTGGAGCTAGGAGCCAAGAGGCAGAAATGAAGGCTGTTATTATAGGCCCTTGGGACCCTTCTGTGGTATAGCCTGCTTGGTTCAATTTTATTACAAGCTTCTACAGGTGAAAAAGGCAGAGTTTTATTATGACCAACCCCAAGGGCCCAGCAAACCCTTAATTTGATCATGCCCCAGTAAAAAGCCAGACCTCTGAACTGGAGATATTTCCACCCGACATCGGCTACTGGATGCACTGCCAGAATGGATTTCATCTGCAGGTTCTCTCTCCTTTTAAGCACTCCAATTATGGCTATTTCGAAAGTATGAAAATTCTTAAAATCAAGGCCATTTCATCTAACTTTGAGTTGCTGGCAGCAAACATCCTTGATCCCTTTTATAGTGGAGAAAAAGCAGAAGCTTTTAGGAAGCAATTCATATACTCTAACTTAAGTCTTTCTTCTTAGATGAGGCACCCTACAAATAGTTTTCTCTCCACTGAGAGGAATGTAGAAGGCAACGGATGCACGCCCAGGCAGGGGAGGCTCCCTGGTGCTTTACAGCTACCCTGGGGGATGCAGGCACAGCGTTCCAGGCTGTGAAATGCATGAACCTACAAGCCCATCTTCCAGGTAAGCATGGATGACTCTCAGCAATCCTGACTCTCTCTGGCTTTGAACACAGGGAGATTCATTCCAATCTAGATCTCAATACGAACCCACACTGGAAAAATTAATCCAAGTCAAATCCAGCAACACCTGCTGCGCTGGCAGCCCTGGAGAGCTGGGCGGGTTCAGTCCCTCTTGGAATAGACCAGGCTGCAAGGACCTGCCTGAAATACCCCAAGTTTCTCAGGTGAAACCTGCCTCCCTGCTTCCAGCAGATGCTGCTGTCATTTGCTCTGTCAGAACCAGACATTTCATGCTGTGACACAGGTGAAAGCTCGGGGAGCAGTAAGCTGCTTTTTCTCTGCCTGTGACAGAGTTAACTTTCTTCACTGCAACACACGTGGTTGCTGTGGTTTGGGTTTGTGACTAAAACAGTGCTGATAGTGCACTGATGTTTTATCTGTTGCCAAATGTGGCTGCACAATGTCAAGGCTTTTTCTATTTTCTTCACTCCCCAGTGAGTAGTCAAGAGGCTGGGAGGGGACACAGCTGAGACAGCTGACCTGAATTTACCAAAGGGATATTCCATAACATATGAAATTATTCTTAGAAAAGAAAGAATTAAAAAAAAAACCTAATAAAAGGAGGAGACAATTGGTCTTTCAAATAGCCGTTGCTCAGACACTGGCCGGGCATCAGTCTGCCGCTGGGAAATATTGAATGAATGCTTTTGCATCACTTTTGTCTTTTGTCTTTTTCCTTCAGTTAAACTGCTTTTACCTTGACCCACAAGTCTGCTTGCTTTTGCTCTTCTGATTCTCTCCCCCATCCCACAAGGGATGGTGGTGCTTAGTGGCTGGCTGGAGTCACCGCACCTCCTCGCTGGGGCTGTCTCAGTTTGGAAGCCCCTTGTTGGTCTCATGGCTGTGCCTAACGTGCCTGCTAGGGGAGCGTGGCCTCGCTCTGCAGCAGAATACGCTTCCCTGAGATAAATTCTGGGGCACGGTCAGGGATGAGTAAGTTACCTTTGTCAGCAAACAAGAAGCCGTCTCTACCTGTGCATGCCCAAACCCAGCTACTGCTAGTAACGTTTCCTACTGGGCATCGGCAACAGCCCACCCGCTGCCTTGCTCGTCACTTGGCACAGGAGAGGTTGGGAATGGACGGTGGGAGACAGCAGCTCCAGCACAGAGGCAGCAAAACGTTTGCGAGGCGGACATGGCAGAGCCATGAGAGTATCTCGTAGAAGTCTGGACACTTCTCAATGCTCTTTACAAAATAGCTCGGTCTTGTTAGGTGGGGAAACCGAGGCACACACCACGCTCCACAGAATTACTCATAGCAAAAGGAAAGAGAGAGAGAGAGATATAGTCTCCTATCCTGTCTTCAGCAGCAAACAGCAGAGAACAGCGAAAGCAAAGTGACCTGGGTGCCAGGACAGCAGGCTGGTGAGCTGTGGCAGGATCAGGGGATCTCAGCACAGCAGGGAGCAGGACAGACCCTCCTGAAGGGCTGTGCAAGGAAGGAGACAGCTATATGTGGCTTACGCTATATTCATGAGACCTGACATGCCCTCACAAATAAGTTTTTGCATCCTTCGAATAGTCCTCTCTGATGTCTGAGCCATCAGAGAAGCCGTTTTTAAACCTAGCTCTGCAAGCACATGGGTAAAAGCTTATATGAATCTGTAGATTCACATAATCCTTTGACTCCAGAAGCTCAAGGCTTAGCAAAACCATCACCCAGTTCATCAGAATTGGCCATGCAGCAAACCGGACATAAGCAGAAACGAGACAGACGTCAGCAGCTCCAGCCCCAAGAGCCCTCATCCTCAGGACTGCTTGTCTTTACAAATCCATCCATCCCTGCAGGGTGAACGGCAGTGCAGGGCAGTGACTTTGTCTACAGAAAAGATCTCCTCCTTCCACAGCGTGCGAAGACCTTTAACAAACTTCATCCCCTTAGGACAGGATAGACTCTATACCCTTAATTACACTCAGCAGTGGGAATTATAGACCTGATTGGCACCTTGTTCCATTGCTAAACTTCTTGCAACAGCCCCCATCCCCAGTGAACTTCCATGTCCCCTCTCCCACACAGTGTCTGTGTCCTCCTCGCACCAAGGAGAAACCCTGGGCCAAGGAAAAAACCCAGGCCCTCCAAGAGAGCCATCCCACCCCCCCTTGACCTGTATTGCTTCACTCCAATCACCCACATGTCCTTGCACTGGAGCACCCATGCAGGAGGACATGTCCCAGTCCACCCTGTGAGGTTTGGTGCACAGTGTGTGTTTCCAGGGGTGTTGTGGACTGCAGCTGTGCCTGTAGACATTCTCCTGAGTATCAAGCCCTGCACCTTCTGGATATTATTTATAAGCTTCCATATGGCTATAATCCCAAACCAGGCAGCTCCTGTTTTCTCACCACACTGAATAATTTCCATTAACTGCTCACACCAGAGAGCTTGTATTTTTCAGCCCTTTACTCATCATTGAGCCCAAACTCCTACAGGAGGCAACAAAATTAGAAAGTCTGTGTCTCTATCAGTGCCCCAGCAAAGGCTGCATGGAACAGTCCGCAGCGACCAGGGCAGGAGCTGTGATGCTGGATGGGTCAGTGGACACCGACAAGTCAGGCATGTCAAATCTCTCTTTGTGTGGTCCCAGGCAAGACAGAGGATAAAGACTTTCTGCAGCTTGCACCAGCCCAGGAGCACCATCTGCATCTAATTCAAGCAAAGCCAGGCTATGGTGGGACACAGTGAAAGACCTTGCTCCTGTCAATGAACCTGACGTAGCCTCCCCACAGAGAAGTGTTGTGTACTTATTACCCAGCAGGGAAGGCAATTGCTTTACATAAATAAGGAGCGTATATTTATTTGCATCGTAATCACAAGGCTTTGTGAGCGTATTGAAGCAACACTGTGTCTAATTGCTCGCACTGCTTTTCCCATCATCTCAGAAATGCTGTTTTATTGCTTACGACAAGGCGTGCAGAGCTGTGCGCTTGGTTATTAAAAAAAGGATTTTCATGCACTGAATTGTTTACATTTCACTTCTCACTGGTTAACTAGTTGTAACAAAGTACAACCTCGTTTGCTGTGTTGGTCGAGCTGGGAGCCCTGCCAGAGAAGGGCAAGGTGGAAATCGGGACTTTCTTGCCTATGCACTGCAGGCTATCTACAAAGTTTCTCTGAAACTTTATTTAATGGGATGTGAATTGCTGAAAGCTGCCACTGGAGGCAATATGCAGGCAAAAGCACCAGTCCCAAACCTGCAGGTACTAAGTGCACATACAAGCCATAGGTGGGGCTTCCTCTAAGAAAAAGTTTGAACGTTTTGCATGAATTCATAGGCCTGAAAGGAGAGAATATAATTCACTGTTGAAGCTCTAGATTTGGCTGCAGAGTGGGGATCTCAAATCTCCCTGATATCAGCAGGCCCAATGCTGGGGGTTGCTGCTAATGTGAAAGACCTCTAGGCAACATAGACACAGCAATAGGAAAATGAGGCTCTGACAAATCGTGTATTGGCACGCCAACGGATGCCACGGGATAAACTAGAAATCAGGTAACAGGGATTCAATTAATACAAACTGTAGCACAAGCGCTAAAGCTTTGGCTTTATATCCTTGACTTTAACAACCATTCGCTGCATAGATTCACTAACCCACCTTCAGCAGGCCAACTACGGTTTCTTTCTCTAGTTCAACATGGAGTAGATGACCTTGGATGACTTTTTCCCTCTTTAATTCTCCATCAGTTCAACTCAAGCCCTTCTTGTAAAGTACTTTAAAATCAAGGGACAAAATGCATCATGTGAGTACCAACATGTAGATAAGCGATTTGTTTCCCAGGAACGAAAAGTTGACTACTTAATGGCAAAGCATTAGGCCAGAGACACAGAAACTCTAGGTTCTCCTATATCCAGAGTGGGTCATAACAGAAACATACCAAAAGGGAGTAAACAGAACCGGGAATGCAGGAGGTGCTGCAGGACAACACCTCCTTCCTGGCGTCTTCGTCCATCTGTCAGCTTTGTTCCTCCTTACTCACATTGATCTAGGAGAGCCAGTCAGCTACAGGTAGGAAAGACCAACTCCACGCTGTGTCTGACACAGTCACGTTTGTTATTTAGCCTAAAGCTAGGTGGTCAAAGTACTAAGGAGCTCACATACAGCAAGATAACCTGATCCCTAGGCAGTAAATGGTTTCCCAGATTTCAGTTGTGTCCTTGCCACCCATCTGCCTTTTAATATAGCATGTGACTTGTCCCTTGTGCATTCAGGTTCCCAAAAGACTTATTTGCTATCCAAGTGAATATGTTTAGAGCATAAGATCACAGGCTGTGTATGCAGAGTCCAGTCAGGTTGCATCATCTCCAAATTCTCAGCCTGCCACTTCTCCCAATTCATGCCCTAGTACCTTAAAATTTAATTGTGCTTCCAGTGATTGTAGCAGCATCCACTGACCATCCTTAGCTTCCTCTTGAACTTACAGTCTGTGCCAGAGAGCCACATACAAAGCAAATATGATTCCTTTGCCACCTGAGAGACTTATAGACTACCAAGACCCAACTGCATATCTTACAGGGCTTGTGTGACCTGCCTGGGGACAGATTCCTCTAGCTCTCTGGATATCAGCAGCCTGCCCCAGATACTCTTCCTCTTCAATACCTTTAATCATGTTTGTTGAAACAGTGCTGCTCTTTCTCACTGGGGGTACTTGGGCAAAACAAACCACCAGCTTTTCACAGGGCAGGCTGTTTGATGCTAGAGACATAATGAATGAGGGACACCTGCTATCCACCCACACGTTGTGTGGCTTTTCAGCTCTGCTGACACTCCTGCCTGTGCTCCAGACAGTGTTCTGAGCAAACAGCTCAGCGTGAAGCCTGGGCTAAACCAAGCTCCTTTTGGCCATGCTCCTGTGAGAACCTCTGCTGCTCTTCTCCAGCCCTCTCCTGCTTGCAACATCTCTCCGGGCCTGGGGTAGGTGCATAGGTAGGGCCATAAGAGTCACAGCTGCCAGCAACCCCAAATAGCTGCAATAAAGATACCTGGATGATTCCTAGTGGCAAAGGGAAGCATCTGTACTCCTCCCACAGGAATGGCACAGGAAACAGTCCACCTCATTGCAGTGACCAGTCCTTTCGCCTTGGCCCCCAACTGCAGAGCCCCGGGGAGGTCTCAGCACTCCGAGGCATAAAATCGCTCCCCCAGCCCAGGGAGTTGTCCCATGAAGCCAGGCTGACAGAGGATGCAGAGACCGGAGGGCATTGCAGATGTGCTGGTTTGTCTCAGGCACTTGAGAATAGGATGACACTCAAACCTCCTCTTTCACACTGCTATCCCTGTGCCACCCAGGCACTGATATCACCTGCCACAGGTGCAGCAGGCAGCAAAGCTTCATGCTTTGCCCTCTTACTAATGTCATGGTCCTCTGGATAGAAAGCTGTAACCTGCTAGCCCAGAGCAAGCCATGGTGCCAAGGATTTCCACAGCATACCAGCCTCCCCCACAAGCTCAGATCTTCACCACCCCCAGGTTGTTGTACTTGCCCTAAGTTATCTCAGGTAAGTGCTGCAGCTGAATCTCTGACTTGCAAGTGGAACACCCCCAAAGTCAGTACAACCAGCACCCTCGAGATCCCCTAGAACTTCTCCTTCACTTTCACGGCTGCGGGCAGACACTGTCTCTAATCACAGCCCTTCTGCATTTGTAACACGGAAACGGGGTGTGAGAAAGCCAGAGAGAAAAAGAGTGAAAATCCACAGTCAGCCATGAGAGCAGCTGCAACTTTTTTAACTGATGAGTTACACACAGAGCAGGGTAACTCGAACCAAGGAGGAGGCTTGAGGAACAACACCCCTTAAACCAGCGGGGAGCCAACATGACAACGGCTTCACACTCACCCAAACGGCTCCTCGGTCTCGTCGGCACTCAGAGCTTCGGAGGATCCCAGGACACTGTGCCAGTGCTCCCTGCGGAGGGCCTCACGAGGTATCTCCTGGCTGCGGGAGCCCCTCTTCCCCAAATCCGTGCTGCGCTGGCCGGGCACGCCGCCGTCCTGCTGCTGC